GGACACAACCTTGGTTTCTCTAATCCAATTAATTACATTCTAAATCTTAACATTAGTTATTTCTTCAAATCACAATTACACCATACTCTTGTTACAATTAACCGGATAGAATTAAGATTTAAGTCAAGTGATACACTAATCAAGTAGCTTTTCACACCATTCCCTGTGGGATTCGACCCCAACCTTGTTGGGTTATTATATTTGACACCGACCGCCTTACACTATTTATTAAAGTGTAATTTGAGCGTATCAAATTTTGGCGCCGTTGCCGGGGTATATGGTTTTAAAATTACTAATTAGTGTGTGCTTTACTTTCGTCTTATTCTATTCCATCACATTTTGCTTGTTTTGCTTGGTGTTGATAGGAAGACATGTCAGACTACGAAAGAAGTGGATGAAAACCCTTTTGCGGACATAGATGAGTACATTGAGGATACAAATGCTATTGTACCTCCGGTTGTTGGTGCTTCAACTTTCAAAGTGGAACATGGGTTAATCCTAATGCTCAAAGCGGAGGGGTTTTTCAGGAATTCCACTGATGAAGATCCAACACAACACCTTAGGAACTTCTTGGGAGTATGTGTTATGCATAAGCAGAACAATGTCTCAGATGATGCCCTAAGGTTGAGGGTGTTCAAGTACTCACTAGCTGGAGACGCAAGGAGGTGGCTCCAAAACTTGCCGCCAAATTCCATCCGTTCTTGGCCTGAACTTGTCCGAGCATTTTTAGCTAAATGGTTCCCACAGAGCAAGAAATCTGAACTTCGGGATAAAATTTTCTTCTTCAAGCAACAACTGGGGGAACATCTACATGAGGCATGGGATCGATTCAAATTATATTTGGTGAGGTCTCCCAATCATGGTTTTCCGGACTCTATCTTGTTGGAAATTTTTTACATGGGTTTGGATCCTATGAACCAATTTATAGCGAAGAATGCAGCTGATGGATCTTTTATGGACAAATCATTCACAAGGGTCACACAAATACTTGACAAAATGGCAAAACATAATCAAGCTTGGCACTCTGAGGATACCGTAGGTGGAATTGCATATGGTTCGCCTTCCTTGACCAACGTGATTAAGGAGAATCAAGAGAGAGATCAAATAATCGCAGGGCTTGCCACAAATGTCAATGTGTTGACCAAAATGTTCACGGAAAGCCAAACAAAGAAGGTGAATGTGGTGGAGGATGTGCAACCCACATCCAATGAAGATTTTGAGGAAGCAAACTACATCAACAACGCGCAAGGAGATACCAAGGTCAAGGACAACAAAATCAATGGAGGCCTAACCCGCAAGGGCAAGGCAACCAACAATGGCGAAATGACCAAGGTGACTCCATTCAAGGAAATTGGAATAACAACAACAACTTCGCAAATCGGAGTTCAAATCCTTATGTGCCCCCAAAGGGTCAATATTCAAATCAAGGTTCATCAAGTGATTCCAAGTTGGAAAGCATGCTTGAACGGGTATTAAAAAATCAAGAGAAGTCCGACACTTCCATGAGGAATATGACCGAGCTTGTTGGCTCTCATACCGCGTCTATTCAAAAATTGGAAATGCAAATGAGAGATCTCTCAAGGGAACAAAATCCGAAGCAAAAAGGGACACTTCCAAGTGACACAATTGCGAACCCAAAGGGTAGTGGGAGTGGCCCAACTTCTCACATCATGGCAATTACTACTCGGAGTGGGAAGGTACTACAAGGAGAGGGTGAACAAGTGATTGAAGTAGATGAGTCCGAACAAGGGGTTGAGGTTGAAGAGCCAAGTGTTGTCGAAGTTGACAAGATTCCGGAAGATGTGCAAGTGCAAAAAGAGAACTGGGAAGAGGTAAAGGACAAGGTAGAAGAGATACCAAATACTCTTCCACCTATTCCTATAACTCCTCCTCCATTCCCTCAAAGACTTGTGAGGAAGGTTGATGATAGCAAACTCGAAAAGTTCTATGACATTCTCAAGCAATTATCGGTGAATATTCCATTTGTGGAAGCATTTTAAGAGATGCCGGGGTTTGCTAAATATTTGAAAGATTTGATCACCAAGAAGAGAACCACCAAGAATGAAGTGGTAAACATGACTCACCGGGTTAGTTCCATCATTGCAACATCCATTGTCGAAAAGAAAGGAGATCCGGGAGCCTTCACCATTCCATGTACTATTGGGGCACGTGATTTTGCAAGAGCCCTTTATGATAATGGGGCTAGCATCAACTTAATGCCTCTTTATTTATAAGCAAGCAGGGTTAGGTATGCCAAAGCCCACAAGTATGAGGTTGCAAATGGCCGATCGTTCCATAAAAAAACCGGTAGGAATTATTGATGATGTGCTTGTTAAAGTGGGAAAGTTTCATTTACCCGCCGATTTTGTAATCCTTGATTTTGCGGTTGACAAAGAGATCCCTATCATCTTGGGGAGACCATTCCCGCCCACGGGAAGAGCACTAATGGATTCGGAACGGAATGAGATCAAATTTCGTGTGAATGATGAAGAGGTTACATTCCAAGCAAGAAAGGGTATGAAACTACCACATGAGTATGAAAGCATCTCGGTGATCGATGTTGTTGATGCAGTAGAGGATGCGGTTGAAATGAAAATGGAAGAACAATGCCTCGGCGAGGCATTGGCGGCTATTTTAGTGAACTTTGATGGTGAAGATATGGAAGGTTATATGGAATCGGTAAATGCATTGGAGGGGCTTGGATCCTACACTTATGCTCCAGCAAAGCTCTCTCTCGATTTTGAGAATAGAGCCACTCCGCCCGCAAAACCTTCTATTATCGAGCCACCTCAACTAGATCTCAAACCACTTCCACCACACTTGAGGTATAAATTTCTTGGCTCCAATGATACTTTACCCGTAATCGTTTCTTCTTTGTTGAATGATGTACAGGTGGAACAATTGTTGGAAGTCTTGAAGGAGCATAGGCAAGCCATTGGATGGACAATTGTGGACATCCGAGGAATTCCTGCAGGGATTTGCGAGCACAAGATCCAATTGGAGAGTGAGACGAAACCAAGTGTGGAACATCAACGATGGTTGAACCCGTCAATGCAAGAAGTGGTAAAGAAAGAAATCATCAAGTGGTTGGATGCCGGGGTGGTTTACCCTATTGCCGATAGTTCTTGGGTGAGCCCGGTGCAATGTGTGCCGAAAAAGGGAGGCATGACCGTAATTGAAAATGATAAAAATGAGCTCATCGCAACAAGAACGGTGACCGGTTGGAGGGTGTGTATGGATTACCGGAAGCTCAACAGTGCCACATGCAAAGACCATTTCCCTATGCCTTTTATTGATCAAATGCTTGATCGGCTAGCGGGAAGGTCATTCTATTGTTTCGTTGATGGATATTCCGGCTACAACCAAATCAACATAGCATTGGAGGATCAAGAGAAGACAATATTTTCTTGCCCCTATGGCACTTTTGCCTTTAGCAGGATGCCATTTTGTTTATGCAACGCTCCGACTACTTTTCAAAGATGCATGATGTCCATTTTCTCCGACATGGTAGAGGATTTTCTAGAAGTCTTCATGGACGACTTCTCGGTGGTAGGTGATTCTTTTGAGCATTGTCTTAACAATCTTAGACAATTGCTTAAGAGATGTAAGGAAATCAACCTTGTGCTTAATTGGGAGAAATGCCATTTCATGGTGGATGAAGGCATCGTATTGGGGCATAAAATTTCAAAACATGGCATAGAGGTTGACCGGGCTAAGATCGAGATTATTTCCAAGCTTCCTCCACCTACTTCCGTCAAAGGTGTTCGACGTTTCTTGGGCATGCCGGATTCTATCGGCGTTTCATCAAGGATTTTTCCAAAATTGCAAATCCTATGTGCAAACTCCTTGAGAAAGACGCCAAATTTGTGTTTGATGAGAAATGCCTCAAAGCTTTTGAGGAATTGAAGCAAAGGCTCACCACGGCACCTATTATTGTCACACCCGATTGGTCTCTTCCTTTCGAGCTCATGTGTGACGCCAATGGTGTAGCTATTGGAGCAATGCTTGGCCAACGTCACAACAAGGTTCTCCACCCGGTCTATTATGCAAGCAAGACACTCAATGGGGCGCAAATTAATTACACGGTAACCGAGCAAGAGCTTCTTGCCATTGTCTATGCCTTTGAGAAGTTCCGGGCTTATTTGTTGGGATCCAAGGTGATAGTGTACACGGATCATAATGCTCTTTGCTATCTCATGGCAAAGAAGAATGCAAAGCCTCGGTTGATTCGATGGGTCTTATTGTTGCAAGAATTTGACTTCGAGGTCAAGGATCGCAAGGGAACTCAAAATCAAGTGGCGGATTATTTATCAAGGCTTGAAGAGGCAGGGAGACCTAAGGAAGATCTTGAAATCAATGATGCCTTCTCGGATGAACAATATTGGCACTATCTAGCACTTTTGCTCCGTGGTATGCCTATATTGCTAACTACTTGGTAAGTGACCTTATTCCGGAGGGATTGGAATCCTATCATAAGAAGAATTTCTTGAGAGATTGTCGGCAATATTATTTGGAGGAACCATTCTTGTTCCGTGTTTGTGCTGATAATATTATTAGAAGGTGCGTTCCAGAAGAAGAGATTATGCCAATTCTAAAGGCATGCCATGACTCACCGGTTGGGGCTCATCATGGGGGAAATCGAACGGCAGCTAAGGTGCTTGAATGTGGTTACTATTGGCCGTCAATCTATCATGATGCCAATCAAATGGTCAAGGCTTGTGACCAATGTCAAAGGCAAGGATCAATCTCCAAGAGGCATGAAATGCCTATGCACTTTGTGATGGAGATAGAAGTCTTCGACGTGTGGGGAATTGATTTTATGGGTCCCTTTGTGAGCTCTTGTGGGATGAAATATATCTTGGTAGATGTGGACTATGTGTCCATATGGGTTGAAGCAATTGCATTACTAAACAACGAGGCAAGAAGTGTGACCGCATTCTTGAAGAAAAACATATTCACTCGGTTTGGCACTCCTAGGGCCATTCTTAGTGATGGAGGGTATCATTTCTGTAACAAGGCTTTCACGGGGCTACTAGAGAAGTATGGCGTCAAGCACAAGGTGGCCACACCTTATCATCCCCAATCTAGTGGTCAAGTTGAGGTTTCCAACCGGGAGATCAAGAGCATTCTAGCAAAGACTGTTAATGCAAACAGGACAGACTGGTCAAGGAAGCTAGATTACTCATTGTGGGCGTACCGCACGGCGTACTAGACTCCTATTGGTACTTCTCCTTATTGGTTAGTTTTCGGCAAAGCTTGTCATCTACCCGTAGAATTGGAACACAAAGCCATGTGGGCTCTGAAGAGGTTAAACTTGGACTGGGCTGAAGCTGCAAATTTGAGGTTAACACAACTCAATGAAATGGAGGAATTCCGTTTCCATGCATATGAAAGTGCAACTGTGTATAAAGAAAGGATGAAGTTCGTGCATGACAAAAAGATCTTGAAAAGGTAATTCAAGTCGGGTGACTTGGTTTTGCTCTTTAACTCAAGGCTCAAATTGCTCCTGGGCAAGCTAAAATCAAAATGATCCGGTCCATTCAAAGTGTTAAATGTCTCTCCTTTTGGAGTTGTGCAACTAGAATCGGAGGATGGGCTCCGAACCTTCAAAGTGAATGGCCAGCGAGTCAAGCATTACTTGGGCACAGATGGAGAAAAACATTTGGTGGAGCAACTGGCTCTTAAAGATGGTCCATGCCCGACCAATGAGTGAATCCAAGGGAACGTCAACTTCGTCGTGCCGCAACGTTAAATCAAGCGCTTCATGGGAGGCAACCCATGTGTGGTATGGAGTTTTTTTTATTTTTGTTAGATAGATTTAATTGAGCATTTTAAAGTGTGTGTTAGAGTGCAGGGGATTCAAAAGATTATATCACGGGGTAAGATTTCATGAAAAAGGGAAGAAAAATCACTTTGCACAGTTTGTTGCACATATGCAGTCGCATTTTGACTATGCGGACCGCATTTTGGCCGCAAACCAACACAGTGTGTTGGCTAAATCTGGTGGTAAAGATGCGACGAGGGGGTGCACTATGCGGACCGCATTCCCACTATGCGATCGCATAGTTCACCGCATTTTGTGCCCTTCAGAAAGTCACTTGAATTTACCGCATAACACTTATGAGATCGCATAGTGTGTTATGGGGTAACTTACTCACTGCAAAATCGTCAGGTATATCTTCGCATCCTTTCATCTCTCACACATTCAAAACAAAACAAATTTTTTTATTTTACCAGAAACAAAACAAAACGAAAAAAAAACAAAGAGAAAAGGAACGGAGAAGAAAAAAACGACTAAGGCTTGATCTAATACTCCAAGAGTGCTCAGAAACATCATCACTGGTATCTTTCCTTTGGGCCAATCCCATCATTTCAAGCTTTGGTTGTACATTTACTATTATTCTTGTTTCCCTCGTTTTTGCTTCCTGTTTTCCCTTTTTATTTTTCTTCTGTGTTTTTCTTTCCTGCTTTGTAATTAGAGACTGGTTCGTGATGAGTGTGTAGTTGAGTAGGGTGTTTTGGGGGTGCTGGGTAGCAAGAAATAAGGCCGCCATTGTTAAGGGTTAGTTTAAATCGTTTGGGAAGATGAACTTTGCGGCTCGCAAAATCAAAATGCGATCCGCATTCTTGCCGCATAACTGAACCCTAGGTTGGCTAAGGAAGATGATAAAATGCGGCGAGTTTGTGATCGCATAGTTGATATGCGGACCGCAAACTCACCGCATACTGACACAGTGTACCCAGTTTCTCAGCATGAGTTTTGCGGCCATTTTGCGATCGCATTTCCTACTTTGCGGTGGAGATTGCGATCGCATTTCATGATGTGGTTTTCTATGGACACAAGTTTGCGATGGTTATCCGGTTCGCATAGTGGTTATGTGATCGCATAACCCATCGCATATTTTGTATCATTTCAAGAGCTGCAAGTTTGCGACAAGTTTGCGGTCCGCATAGTGGTTATGCGACCGCAGACCTGTCGCATTTTTAACTTCTTTTATTTTTATTTTTTTCCCCTCTTTCTTTTCTGTTTTCTTTTCACTGTTGCTTACAATGTCACTCACATTTCACCCTCGTGGAGATATGGCTCCCAAGAAACATGCATCCTCTGCACTAAAAAGGGCATCATCTAGTCGTCAAGCGTCACAAGCAAAACGATCCAGAACGGACCCTGATGTTCCACGTCCCTCCCAGTCTGATGAGGAGGAGACCTTGCCTTCAATAGACCTACAGGTAG